AATTGTATCAACTTCAGGACAGAGTGAAAAGATTTGACATCTGAAATACCAAGTCCAACTGCTCTTCTTCCCGTTTGAACTTAGCCCTGCCACTCTAACTGAGCAGCAGAGCAAGTCAAAAAAAGACAAGGCACTAGGTTGACATTTTACAAAAACAATGCTAGCAAAAGTAAACGAAGCCACTGAATCAGTAGTATTTCCTCTGGATCAATAGCAGCATAATGGTTTGCGGCTAAAATACTGACACTATATGCTGTTAATCTGCTTATCTCAGGGATAAGAGAACTGTTTTGTAATGGCTCTTAACATTTTCTATTTGCATATCCAGTTTGACTATAACAAATGCTCGCTCTCCTTGGGGACAGGTAGTGCTGACAACTCCCCTTTCACATGGAAACTGGACAGTCGCCAGCTTGGAAGAGAAATCCTCGGCACAGACTCGGCCCAAAGGCGGTTAGCACAAAACACACCAGAGGAGAGCTAGCGAGCGGTGAGCTGTTCCCCCCAAGGGGTCCAGCCCAGACTGGTTACTAACAGGGTTCCCCTCTCAGTGGCAAAGACTCACCGGAGAGAGAGGAACTGCAATGTCCTGGAAGGCCGAGAGGAGAGCCCGCAGGGCTGCACTGGCTCTGGGTCCACCGTGCTATCAGCAGAGAGCCGTCGAAGGCCGGTGATCTGCAGCTCTCTGGTCTTGGCCCGCAGAGCCACAGAAACAGTGAGCGGAGTGGGTGAGGCACCCATAACGAACTGCGTGAGCCCCGTGAGAATGCGGAGCACCGAGCGCAAGCCATTCGAGTTTATGTTCCTCACAGAAATGGAAATTCGACTTTGCTGACAAGATAACGCGTCACGGGGCCATGGCATCACTGTGGCTGGCCAACCGCTCTGCTGCCTGTGGATGTGCTTGCAAGGAAGGAAAATAAAAGCGCATGCCATCATCCCGCAACAGGCAGGACAAAGCCAAATCCACACCCAGCCTGACTCCTTCAGTTGGTGGATGTTTCCAAGGGAAAATCTCCCCCTCCAGGAGGTGCCGGAGCCCAAGGCCACCCCTGGGATTTCATGTTTCAGACGCTCGGAAACATGCCCAAAAAGGTGGTGCCTAAAAAGGAGAACCAGGGGCTGGCAGGTGGTGTGGTGGTTAAGGTGGCTGGACTCCCACACGGCTGACCACAGTTCAAGTCCTGGACCAGGCAGCTTGCTTTCTCACTTTCCTTTTCTCTCTCTGTCTCTTTCTGGTCAACTTCAAAAACAATTTTTTAAAAAATAAATAAATAAGACAACGACAAAATTAAATGAAATAATTCTTAAAAAAAAAAAAAAAAAATAGAACCAGAAGTTAAGTAAGGGGACCTAAGCGCTCATACAGCAGACTGATAAGCCCAACTCCAGGAAGAAGGGACTGCTCCTCGGTCTTCGCAAGGAGGGGTCACCCAAGGGTGGCAGATGGGAGCACCCACTCAGCTCGAGGCAATGATAAACGCGTCATTTTACTGTCAGACAGGGAAAACGCTAAGACTGGGCCTATGTCTTGTGAACGGTGTGGACCAGCCGGCCAGGCTTCGCCCTGCCTCAGAGGGCCCTCAGCTCGCAGCGTGGACTGGGCGCCAGGGGATGGGGCCGCCTGGGCAGCGCTCATGAAAACAAACTTCTTACAGGAAACAGGCCCCTGGCGATGTAAGAAATTCTTTCTGCAGAGTAATACGCTATCCATGTGAAAATTTCAATAATGATCTTAAAAAACAAATAAACAAAATGGCCACATTTTTCCTGTTGTTGGGGAATAGAAACAAAAACAAAATATACTCTTTATCTTCCTCTTCCTAGAGAAACATACCCGACCTTAGAGCACGCGTCGATTTTAGCCCACATGAACGCGCGAGGCGAATGCCCTGGAACAAGCGTGCCCGCGCCCTGCCCAGCTCCAGTGCACAGGCTGGCACCGAGCACCAGCGAGCAGCCAGAGGCAGGTAACGCGTCGATCACGGGGACCGACAGAACCAATCAACCAACCAACCCTTTCTCTCTGGATTCTGAAAGTGCCTCTCATATGGAGTCCCTCCTGCCTCTGACCAAGGCCCTTCCCGGCCCCAGCGTGGCCAGCAGCACTCCCAGTTAGCCGTCAGGAGGCCCAGCATTAAAAAGCTTTTCTGGGGGGGGGGGGAGGTTTTTTGGGGGGGGGGGGCAAAGGCTCCCTGTGTTCACCCCAGGCCACACTGATACATCAAGTTCAGCTGCAAGCTCCTGGCAAGTAATCTGTTACTAGTTCTGCAAATTATTTTTGTAAGAAGTGAGAGCAGATTCCGGTTTATCACAGTAACATCACCCTGCCTGCAGAGGGTTGTGCTTTCGGGAGCGGAAAAGAACAGCCGGCCACACCAGGTGCACTTTGAGGGACCTGGCCGGGAAGAACCTGCCGAGCCAGATGAGTCCTGCCCAGGAGGCAGTACGGTTGTCAGACCGCTTGACTGGCGGAAGGTACCCTCGGCACAGCACACAGACGAGTGGCCTCTGCCCACGTGGACACCGCGTGCTTCTCTGCCCGCATTTCAGTGGTTTCAGCGTCATCACTGTTCAATTCTGCAATAACGACTCTGAGTCATTCTTCATTCCACAAACTGGTGCGTTTTGGAAGGTGAACACCATGCCAGGTGTTGGGGATAAAAGGGTAAGCAGGGGGGGACCAGCAGTTAGCATAATGGCTATGTCGCTGGACTCCCATGTACTTGACCGCGGTTTGCGTCCCGGACCTGGTGGCTTAAGAGGCATGCCAGGGCGTGTGCATGTGTGCCCAAGATCCCGAGAGGAGAATGGAAGAGAAGGGACTGCAGCATGGCCATCCCCCCTGGGGGGTGATTTCTCGCTTTCTGTCTCTCTCTGTCTGTCTGGCGAGCGCACGCACCCTATAGCAAAAACCTCTCCAAAAAAAAAAAAGGGTAAGCAGGGTCGCCTTTGCTTTCAGGGAGGTAAGGGCCAGACAGGGAAAGCAGAAAACTAGCAGATCAGGAGGTCTAAGCTAGCCTTGGGGATAGGGAGGCGGACGGGCCTGGGCCAGAATCTGCACTCCCACCTCCAGTACAAGTGTCCCCGCAAGGCCTGACCCAAGAAGCAATGGGGTGATATTACGAGGAAAAAGAATTCTGATGCTACGTTCACAGCTCTAAGCCCCATTTTTACTTAAGCCAGTGAATATGAAATCATCACTGGGGGTCACAACCAGCTTTATGAAAAAGTGAAACAGCAAACAATGTACCCTCTGCAGTGGTTGTATGCTTCCTCAGCTACACGGTGTTACTATGTATGTTCTAACTAGTCCTGATGGAAATGAGTATTTCTCGCACTGCGTGATCATTTTACAAGGTTTGAAAATAACCAGACAGAACCCTTAGATGCAGCCTCTGAAGCCCCCATTCTCAACACCACACTGTTACAGCACGTGAGGTGGAGACCCAGGAGCAAGTCTCCCTCCTGCCATTTGGAAGGTGCCTGGCCTTGGTCAGACCACTTCTCACAAGTTGGTTTCCTTGCATATGCAATAAAGAGTTGAGGCTTTCGGTTCTCTTCTGTCGTCTCCTATTCTGCCTACCTGCCTCCCCTGGCGACCCCAAGCACTCAATCCCTAACCCTGGGCCACCACTCATCTGTTCTCCACCCCAAACACATTACGTAAAGGGGTGTCATCTATGGAACTGGCGTCTGTACTCAGTACGATTCCCTGGAGGTCACCCAAGCTGCTGCTGCACCACAAGGTGCTCC